CTTTGGATAATACAAGATTTTTAAATTTTTGTGAAAATAATATCGAAAATTGACCATGTTCGGGGCTTTGCTGGTCATCAATGAGAAATGAGATAAAATAATTGTCTAGGACAAAATAACCAACACTCATTCTATTTTTGTACAAAAAATAGTTTGGCATAAAAAGCACATGTTCTATGGTGAAAATATTAATTTTAAAATAAACCCATTAATACGTCATGACTACATTTGGGGACTAATATTATTAAATAAATGCAAACATTATACCATAATTAGTGTAAATTAACTAAACATCACGTTTGATTATATGTAATGAAAGATTATTGTATAATATATTTAAATAGTTTGAGAAATCATGGTTTGTATGGTATTATAAATGTTGATCATTAAAATAATTGCAACTTTAATATTAAAATTACAATAATCAAAAATTGTATAAATTATTATTTTAATAAAATTATATAAATAGTTTTTCACCATGATGTTAAATCCACCGATTTTGATTATCAGTAACTTACATATTTTTATATTACTTCTAAAAAACTATTTGCGGTCCCTCTATAAACAACAATAATTAAGCTTAACTTTCACACGAGCAAAATATTTAGTATCGAGAATCTTTAAGTTATTAAAATTACAGTAAATATTTTATTATATTATAACGGTTTAAATAATACCCCCTTTTATGGTAACCCCTGTTTTGACACAAACGACAGATACCTGAGCTGTTATATCCTGTCATTACCTGTTACTACCCGTCCTTACATACAAATGCCTGCATCGGCTCCTATTCCCTAAATTCCTAAGATTGTTACACAATATACTTGTCATACAATTCCTATGTCTTAACTATTACTGTACTTTATATGCATTCAATTGTATATCAATATATATCTCCCGATCCATACATTGTATCCCTTAATGTAGTGCTAGACTTCAAACCCGTAAGTCTTCACTCATTCACACAATACATTCATACATAGAATAAATAGTGTTATCATTGGCAACATTGTGTGCTTATATGACCCTAAGGTTTGGGGTATAAGTAGCGACCGGTTCCGCATATTCGCGATCCCCGTCCAGTCCAATACTGGCCGTACGGAACGCAACAATATAATATTAAATAATTAATCAATAATTAGAAGTAATAGCTAGTTTATTTATTAGTCTTAAGTTGATTTAATATTTATTTATAACTAAATGTTTGTATGCCAAAAAATAATAATATAATTATTTAATTTAAAATAATAATAAAACATTTAAAAGGTCCCAATTTTTGAAAACAATAATTTAAATTATTTACTGACCAATTAATAAAATATAGCATTACTAAATAATTTATAATTTATCATTAAGAAAATATGTTTAAATATAAAAATTTTAAGAATTATATGTCAGATCTAATTGTATACTATTAATTATATTGTATAAAACTTACTTTAAATATTGTTTAAAATTTATAAGTGAAAAAGTTATTGAATGAAATAATAAAACAATTCTAATGAAAAGTGTAATATAATTTTCTCATAAACATTAATTCAATTGAATTTATAAGAGATTATAACTTATAATTTATAAGCATTTTGCCTGTAATGACATTGAGTATTATTTTTGGTATAGATTGCAATGAACTTCAATTTAACATTTCTGGACAATAACTCTTTGAGATCATAATCTGAAAGATCAATGTCTTGACGACAGAAAATGATAAGTATTTGAAGCGATGGTAATCTCAAGATGTGATCCATAGTTTCACGGGTTATACCATTCACTTTAATCCTCAAGAATTGAAGTCGTGGCCAATTTTGGTGACAATTATTAAGGAATTTGTCGCTCTCTTCACAAATTTCAAGTGTTAAATGTGTTAATCGGAGGAAGAGTTTCAACGGTTTCAAAAGTTTTTGATTTATAGAGTGGTATAAATTAAATCGTTTTAATCTTTGATAATATATCAAAGAATCCATTGTCTGGCCATTGAGTTGTGGGTCGGACTCATCACTCGGCAGTTTGAGTATATCTAATGTCAATGATTGCAATTGTTTGCAGTTTAAGCCAATTGTACGCAAAGACTCGTTCAACACATTTTTGCCATTCGTTAGCCATAAACTGAGTCTCAATTCCCGTAATTGTGTTAATCGTGACAATTGTCCGCATATTTCAAACAAATTCTCGTAGAATTCTTGATACAGATATACGTTGAAACTTTTGAGGGACTGATTGTGTGCCACGAATGCAGACAAAAGTTCCTTACTATCAATCGCATAGAATTGAAATGAAAATTTGTGTAAATTCTGAACCAATACTCTTCCGGAAGTGTTATCAAAGACTTCATCCAAATGGCCAACAGTTAAATGAGTCAATCTGTGGCAATGAATGAGCGATTGTTGTTTGTGGTCACAAACGAAGGTTCTTGTGATCATTGGTCCAAATGTGGGAAATATTCGACACGTTTTTCTTGATAAATGGCAGTAAATTTCCCGCAAATGTCGGCAATTCTCTCTCAATATGTTCAACAATAAGGGAATTTGTTTTTCATATTTCGGTCGTAATGCCCGGAAATCGACAGTTTGAATGTTTGGACACTTTTTGACAATTTTGGTCAACATTTCAACATTAGATGACATATTGTATAATATTATGGCCTCCAAGTGATTAATATATCGCTGACCAAAAACTATTTTTCTAACATTTTTAAAGACATTCCTCTGGAACTGTTTGGACACACATTCGCAACGGAATTGATCTTCAAATGGAAAGTAAGACAATAGAAGTTCACACAAATCATCACCGAATCTGTCCATTGAGTCTTTCGCATAGAGTTGTACCTAAAATGTGAGACAAAAACAATTAAAACTCATTAATCTATAAATTGTTTGTGAAATACCTTTCGTCTGTTGTCTTCATTGCCGTCATCTGTAGTCTCGAGTGATGCCATCATTTGTGTCAACTGTTGGGCCATATCTTGGGATCAAATGAAGTGACTTTATAAACTGTTTGAATTTATTATTAACGTATTTATATCATAACAAAATATTACATAAGGCTAATATTATTGCGCTTAAAAAGTTAACATGTTATGTAAGCATTGAATGAGAAAATATGAAATTCTTTTGGACAAAGAGTAATAAAAAAGGGTTTAAAAATATTTTTCAGCGCAGAATCGGTTATCAAAGTGGAGAGAGAG